GTCATTGCCCAAAAATAAATATAAGATGGTTGATAGAGTTGACCTAAATCACTACAAATATAATATAAGTATTTATCTTTTGGCCTAAATATTTATCTATGATTTGGGGTCTCACAATTTCACAACATAATTGGGGGCTACGGCCAATGCCTCAAATTTTATTAGATATCTTCTTGCTCATGGAAGGTGTTGCATTCCTCAAAATTGATTTATCGACTCACATATTATTCTACCGTAATGTGATAATAAAGAACTGTAAGCGATATGGAAATAATGAAAAAGAATTAGAAAATATAATTAATAAAAGATAGTGTACAAAAGTAATGGTACCAATTTTTATACCACTATTGTTTTTACGATTCGACAACAATCAGCGGTACATGCGTACACTCTTGCCGGATTACGAATCAAATATATATTGATCTGAACACTAGTACGCAGTATATAGACGAACGCGTGGCTCACATTTTTTTATTTATCCCTTTGGAAACATATTCAAAAAATCACAAGAAAGCTCCTCCCATGGCGGATTCAAGCTCTTTTCTCCCTCCTCTTTGCAAAAGGATCTCACACAAAAGCTATGTTATAAGAGCGATGGATCTCACGATTCTTAGCCTTGTCTTTTCTCTTCTCGTGTACCGAATCCTACATATGAGCCACAATGACACCGCTTGGGCTGTGGCTTTCTTCTGTGAATCTTATTTCTCTTTCGTATGGCTGCTTCTTAGTTCCACAAAATGGAGTCCAGCTGATCATAAAACCTATCCAGATAGACTTGATGAAAGGTACCGTTCTCATTTACATCCATGCAATTATATATACTTAAATAGCATATATTCTTTATAAAATTTATAGATCGTCATATATAGCAAGTTGCTACCTATCTAGCTCTTAGTTTATTTCCCTCATTTAGGGCTCATTTTCCGGGGATATCTTGTTTTCCGCCGGTTTAACTTCCGGGGGACTTTATTCACAGATGTTGGATATCTTCAAAGCGTTAATAATAATATTTAGATGACAAAAAACGATATAGCTCTTAGTTTATTTCTCACGAAATAATATTCATTTATGTGTTATCCTTTTTTTAATGTTTAAATTGTTTACAAACAAGCTTTTATGAGCTGCCCTAGTAATTATTCATTTCAGGGTTCATGACCTTCCTTCGGTAGATATGTTTGTGACCACGGCGGATCCGGTTCGGGAGCCGCCGATTATCGTCGTGAACACCGTGTTATCGCTGTTAGCTGTGAATTATCCGGCAAACAAACTAGCATGTTATGTGTCGGACGATGGATGCTCACCTCTCACTTACTTCTCACTCAAGGAAGCTTCTAAGTTCGCCAAGATTTGGGTTCCTTTCTGCAAGAAATACAATGTTAAAGTTAGAGCTCCTTTTAGATATTTCCTTAACACTCTGACTGCGCTAGAGGATTCTGACTTTGCTAAAAACTGGGAAATGACAAAGGTAAAGAGTTTGATAGTCTTTTTGGCATTTGAGTTTGTCTTATTTATTCAGTTAAAAAAAAACATTTTTTTTTATCATGATTAGTTAGCTTTTCATGTTAATCAGTGTTTTTGTTTTAAAACTGATTATTTATTGTATTAATATATAGAGGGAGTACGAGAAATTACGCCAGAAAGTGGAAGATACCACTGGAGATTCCCATTGGTTGAATGCTGACGACGATTTTGAAGCTTTTACAAACACAAAACCAAATGATCATTCAACTATAGTTAAGGTATTTCTAATTTCCTACAATATTCTAAAGTAAATAACAAATAATCTCTAGCTATAGTTATGCATATAACAAAAAGGGTTAATTATAAATGATAATTTTTG